TCTTTCTCGATTATGATGAATGGTACTCCCTATGGGTTTTTTAAACCTACCCGGGGTCTTCGTCAGGGGGATCCGCTCTCCCCTCTACTTTTTGTTTTGTGCACTGAAGGGTTTGCCGCTTTGCTCCGACGTGCTGTCAATGAAGGGAAACTGGAGGGGATTAAGGTGGCCCCCCGCGCCCCGCGGATCTCACATTTGTTTTTCGCGGATGATTCATACTTGTTTCTACGAGGATCACTTTCGCAGTGTGAGAATTTGATCGATGTACTAAATGAGTATGAGGAGCTGAGTGGACAACGGGTGAATTTGGAGAAATCAGCGGTCTGTTTTAGTAAGAATGTGGCCATCCCAGATCAGGAGTTTTTAGCCCAGATCCTGGGCGTGGGCGCGGTGGGAGTGCAGGATAAGTATTTAGGGTTACCAACTCTGATTGCCCAATCCAAGATGGCTACCTTTCGGTATGTGGAAGAGCGTTTGTTAGCTAGGCTGCAAGGGTGGGCTAGACGTACGTTGTCTTTGGCGGCGAAGGAGATACTGCTCAAATCAGTTGCCTCGGCCCTGCCTTTGCATGTTATGTCTTGTTTTAAGCTCCCTCTCTCGTTGTGTCGTGCTTTGGATAGACTTGTGGCCAGATTCTGGTGGGGAGTTGAGGATGGACGGACTAGATTGCGGTGGATGTCGTGGAGGAAGATGTGTCGGAGTAAGCATGATGGGGGCATGGGGTTCCGTCGGTTTGAACACTTTAATCAAGCTCTCTTGGCGAAAATTGGGTGGCGCATTCTGGAAGACCCATCCTCCCTTCTGGCGCGGGTGTACAAAGGGAAGTATTTCCCGACTGGGTCCTTCCTCAGTGCTACTGCTCGGTCACGTCCGTCGTGGGGGTGGCAGAGTGTGCTTTATGGGCGGCAGCTCTTGTTGAGGGGTCTCCGGTGGCAGGTTGGGAATGGGCGCTCCGTGTCGGCCTTAGAGGACAGCTGGGTTCCGGCATTGCATCCTCAGCCTCCCCTAGCTAACCCACTGGTTCTTCCAAGAGAGGGAATCCTGAAGGTGGCTGATTTGCTGTGCCCAGGGGAAGGCCGTTGGTCGGAAGAAAAGCTGTGCCAGTGGTTTTCTCCGGCTTCGATTAAGGCGATCAAGGCGATTCCCCTGTCGAGGCAAGATATTGGGGATAAATTAATTTGGCACGAGACGGGTGATGGGGTGTTTTCAGTCAAGTCTGCTTATCACTTGGCCGTCGCAGTTGATGCTCAGCAGGGTCACTGGGGACCCACGGTTAGTTTGATGGACCGTCCAAGCTGGATTCGGTTGTGGGGCCTGCCAATCCCTCCCAAATTAAAGATTTTTCTGTGGCAGGTCATGCATAGGTTCCTACCAACTACGGAGGCTCTCCGCGAGAGGGATGTTATGGTCCATCCCCGTTGTCCGGTGTGTTGGGGGGCGTCTGAAACTATGGAGCATCTTTTTCTGGAATGTCCAGTGGCGAGGAATCTTTGGGAGCTTGCGGGGATGGGTCATCTTGGTGAAGGGCTACCCCGACATTCGTTCCCATTGTTTCTCAAAAAGTTGCTGATGCTCCTCCGTGGCCCTGAGGAAGTAATGGCACTTGTAGCTCTCCTTTGGAGGATTTGGAAGTCCAGGAATTGGGTTGTCTTTGAGGGCAAGCAGTTTGATTTTCCTGCTCTTGTGCGCCAGTTTTGCCAGCAGGTTGAGGAATGGCGCTCGTTGCCAGCCCCTAGGGTTGATGGTGCTCCTCGGCTGGATGGAGTAGCCTTGGTTCCTCCTAATCCTGACACTTTAGTGTGCCGGTGGGACGGAGCGACTAGACGGGGGTCTCACTCGGCTGGTGGGATGGTTCTTCTGGATCAAGGTGGGGTTCCCCGAATGGCCTCGACAGTCCGTTTCCCTGGGATGGATGATCCCATGGTTGTGGAATTACTTACTCTACGTGAGGCCATGATTTGGTGTACCCAGCAGGGGCTTGATCAGGTAAGATTCGAGGGTGATGCTCAGGTGGTGATCAATCGGCTTGCGGAGTACCCAGTGCAGGATAGTCGTGCAGGTGCTATTTTTCAAGAGGTCCAGCGTTATATGGGGGAGCGGGAGGGATTTAGTGTCCGGTTTGTTGGTCTGCGTAGTAATAGGGTAGCCCACTTGGTGGCTCGCAAAGCCCTTTCTTTGTACCCGACGATGAGTCGTTCGTTTGATTTCGTTGCCTGGCTGAGGCACTCGCTGTAATGATCTGTGTTTTGTTATCAACTATTGATTATCTTTTGTAAAAAAAAAAAAAATTGTTCAACTTTGAGCAAAGACATTTTATTTTCTTGTTTAAACATAAAAGAAGTCACATATCGGCCTTGTTCAAGCGATTAACTACTTAAATCAAGCTATTCCTATTAAACTAGTCGGTTTGATCCGATTTTAACAATATTGCACATGAGATATAAAATTGTCAACTTTTTTTGCAAAACTGCTCGTTACTGAAATGAAAAATAATTTTCTCATTTCGGCTCATATGAGACAAACATATACTGTTCCAAAGATATGTTTTTACATGTGTCAAAATAAATAAACTAAGAATTAGTGTAAAAAATAAAAAAATTAGTGACACCTTGAACATTTTGGCTTAACTAATTAATATTTAAATCTCACAACGCGTTAATCGTTATCGCTTAAGTCATTGCATTCGTCAACATTATAATTCTCGTGGTTGGCGTTGGAAACTTCGAGAAGAAACCTATCCGCGAAATTTCAGCCCGTTTGCCCCCGTCAAAGGCCCAACTACAAGTCAAACCGAAGGAGGGTCGTTAAGTCATTTCCGATTACAGCTATAAACAAGAAAAATCAACTGACGTTCATTTTCCATTTGCGAACGTTAAAACTTGGCGGAGGACCTGTCCCCGGTCACCCTTCTCCTCCTCCGCCGCCATCCTTCCTCATTTCTTTGTTCTCCTCCCTGATAATCTCCGCCGCGATTCCGAATCTCCGATCGTGAAAAATGGGTCAGAACGACGAACCGGTGATCGGCGTGCCGTACTATGCCAGTCAGAACCCTTACCAAGCCGGAGTAATCCCTCCCAACGCCGTATTCGGCGATCCCAAGGGCATTCCCCTTCAGCAGACTATGTTTCACGATACTCCAGCTCCTTTCAATTGCGTTTACTGCGGTAGCTCTGGAATCACCAACGTTCGGTAAATCAATTCCATCTCTTCTGCTGCTTCTCCTTGTTCTATTGTTTCGAAATCGTTTAGTTTTTGACTGCTTCGAATTGGAGTAATAGCAGGAAACTATTGATTAGGGTTTTTAATGTGCTTTTTAGGTTGATTATATTGCTGGATTGTTGACAGTAGCATATTGATTGAGCATGCTAAGGGTCTGGGAGCAGCTTGTATCTGACTTTTAGGTTGAATTGAATGGTCCTGTCTCCTATGATCCAGCTAGAACACACAGGCAATCCTGTTTAGGGTTTCTGTTCCATACATCGAAGAAGATTAATTTCATGCTTTCGCGCTTGATCCCATTATGGGGAATTCAATTCATTACAAATGCAGAAAACAGAGAAGCTAAAGCAGCCCTTATTCTTTCTGCCAGTCTGAACTAATGTTCCTTGTTCACTTACCTAAGCTCCCGACCTTTGTGTTGATTTGCAGTATTGCTGTTTGCCTTTATAATGGCTATAGCTACTCAACTATGTAATCAAACAGATAAATACATTGCTTTGCTGGTTCCTTGCTCCTTCCTGTTTTGTTGTATGTTAGCATCCCTTTGGTGAGTGAAAAAAATGTGATGTTCCATTCAGATCAAAGCCTAGTTTGGCAGCTGTTGTGGGTTGCATGATGCCATTTATGCTCGGCGTGTGCTTTCTTTGCCCTTCAATGGACTGCCTCTGGCACAAGTATCACTACTGCCCGAGCTGCAAAGAGAAGGTAAACTAACAAAACTTTTTTGCTTTTGCGTAGTCTGGTGGGTGAATTAGTAACGCTTTAAAAATACTTGCCAACTGATGTACACTGTGTTATGTGATCGAATGTAGGTTGGCCAATTCGAGAAGACGGATCCATGTTTAGTGGTGGATCTCCCCCAGTGGAAGCAACAGAGCTTTGCATTGCCTGCATGATGATAAGTTGCCCTCTCCTTCATGTTGTAGTATCATTCCTGTATGCTTGCTATACAGAATATACCGCCGAAGATTGTCCATGAATCACAGACTGCTTTTAGTTCCCGTACTTACTGTACAAAGGGCTATTAAGATCTGTTAAGGGTTTGTTATCCAAAGCAGTTGGATGTTATACAATATACATATACACTTTATGAATAATTTACATATTCAGTCCATCAGAATATTAGTCTTTGGTTTGAATTCTTGAGTTGAACACATACTAAATCGAGATTAATTTGCTTGGCGATCAGGGAGCTTGAGCTGTTCTTCTAATCAACAAGTTGAGGCTGAGCTCCACTCATCGCTGTTTGATTGCAGTCCTACTAACTCAGCCTAGGGGTGTCAATCTGGTTTTTCGGGTTTTAACCGAAACCAAACCGATACGGAAGCTAATGGTTTCATTTTTTTGGTTATAAACCGATAGCAGTTTAACGGTTTTGATTTCAATTAAAACCTAAACACCAATAAGAAATAGATAATCTAACTAAGTCCTAGACCCCTTTTGGATGACACACTCCCATCAACAAACTCAGAAGAGACATTTGGCGAGAAACCTATGGAAGGTATTTTATCAAGAAATCATAATATATGCTTTGAAAGCGGCACATGAATCGAGGTTGTTAATGCAGTTGCCTTCTACTTGAATCGAGAGGGGTGACCTACTTTACTTCTGTTGCCGCCTCTCTTCTTCTCTTTTCGTCGTTGGCGATCAACTCAAAATCTCTCTTTTGAGTTTGAAAAAAGAAGCAAGCTCTTATTAAGTTTCATAGTTTTTCTCTTCCCAACAATTATTATGCTTCAACAAACATGAAGTTCGGTCCTCAATACCGACTCTTAGCGGATTTAATTTGCTTTACACTCTGCAAGACAATGATTACCGCCGAATTCAACCAGGTACTGTAAATCACCCCCTACATTTTCCTGATTAATCACAGTGTACATATCATCTGAATAGGCCTCGCAATCCGAAGGATCGTAATCAACCTTGCCGTCTTCATCGATAACCGTGATCTGCTTAGCATAACCATCTAACTTGACATCTCCAACAGGACGACAGCCCGATCCCATCGGCGGCGGGTCGACACCGTAAGGACTGTAAACTTCTCCTCCCCATTCCGCATAGTTGGCAAAGTCATACAGTCCCGTGAATATAGTTTTCGGCCAAAATCCGACCACCTTATTCTCAAAACCGACCACGAGAACCCAGTCTCCAGTTACGACATCCTGTGCATACGCAAACGAACAACCATTAAATCTCCATTATTAATCTTTGTTATCCCGTTTTAATTATCATCCAACAATGTAAAGCAGTTCGTGGCGATGTTTTAAGTTTAAATACCTTGTGTATGAAGAATCTTTGTAAGAATATCGCTCCACCTCGTTGGGAAACAGGCTGAAAGATGGTATCGATTGGTATATCATGACTCACAATCACAAACCCAGGACAGTAGACGTTGTAGCAGCTCGAATCCTTCGTCTGAGTAGTACCCAAAACAAAGCTTGTTCAATTTTTTTTTTTATTTATTTATCATTGTGCTGATAATAATAATGATGATGATGATAAAAGTAAATGCACGTCACCATTATCGTTTATAAATTTTAGATGATAATCTGTCCATCTTTTTTAATCGAGAGAAATAAGATGCTAAAATAAGTATAATAAAAAATAATATGCAAATTCTTTTATGAATAATTAACCCAATATAATAGAAAAACTCACAATTGTGTATATGAAAAGTCGAGCTTCTCCATCATGGTATAAACTTGGATTTACCTTAAACTCAAAGAATGAGAAGAAACCCTTATTAGTGTGCAGGAATGAAGGAACTCTGTTACGTATGATTAAATGGTTACTTACTACCCATCCCGCTGCAATGCTATCAGGACCATTCTGGAATTTCACACGGCTAGAGCTATATTGGCGATCGTGAACAACAGGTTTATATACAGTGGTGTGCATCCCGCCTCCATAGTATTTTTTATCCCCAGTAGATCTAAGTATCGCAACCTATAAAACAAAGGGTCCATCAACAATGCAAAAATACGAGCATTACGGTCTTGAAAAAGGATTATGAGATAACTTCCACGATTTATAGATGACTGTCAACAGATAAAAGATAATTATTATGAATCAACTAAGAATGAATAGCAATAATTAGTTACTAACATGAACACCCGGATTGAGAATGGATGATGCAGCTTCATCAACAGATTTCATTTTCACCAAATCATGTCCCGTAGTTCTTTTGATGGGTACCGTTCCAATTGGACATCCTTTTCCATTTGACCATATATTCAATAGTTTGCTACTAAATGAACCTGATGAATTATTTGTTGCTCTTACTTCCAAATCCAAGTGTGAATAGTTCATCTACATGTAAAATCAAAACACAATATTATTAGCTACATATTCGTCGCTCATACATAATTAAACATACTAGAAACAAGAACAAGTTTTTCATGGAATACATACCTGAAAACTATAATTATGATTCTTCAACGAAGGATGATCAAATGCAGGTTGCTTATAGAAATCCACACAATCATATGTGTCTCCATATGTTGTCTATTTACACCGAGACAGATCAAGAAAACCGATTCAACGCGATTAGTTATGAATTAGGTCACGAATACTGTACAACTAGACAACAATAGGCTAGTAATAATGAACTTGTTGAGTTCAGTTATTAGTTGTAACCTGAATAGTGATGTTTGCAGGTTTATTCAAATGCTCAAGTTGTCTGCTTGCTTTGCTAGGCAAGTTTTGGCCTGTAACGACATAATTATGGTGTTCTAATAACACTAACCAGAGCAACAAGATTACTAATGCAGAATTTAGGATGGTGTCCCCCATATTCATCTGTTTCTCTGTACCAAAGAAAGCTATATAGACATGAACCAATATATAAAAGAAAATTTGAAGATGGAAATAAGAAAATTATTTACTTTGTTGGCTTATATAGTTTTATTTTTTGGTCTTTGACCCTTAAATCCGTAAATGAGAATATCTGTGTATTTAAAGCAACAATATAAACACAATCTCACTTTTCCTACTTCCCTTATTATTTTGGAGTATTTAAGGAAATAATTTAAAACACCATTCTCACTTACTTTTTTTAATACAAAAAGAATAGCATTAATCCTCCGAAAACCAAATTAATTTTGTTTCTATATATTCAGGGGAATGATGCAGACCTATATATGTATTTAAGACAATAATATCTACAAAGTTTTATATTTCCTTTCTGGTCTGTATACATATTTAAGGAAGCAACATCAATACATATTAATTTTTTTTTAGCTTTTTTTAAGGTAGTATTTTATGGAGTGTATCTAGACAAATAACTAGAACAAGGCGTAACCTATTGGCTATATAATTTGTATGTGGCATTTATTCATCATGGGAGTTCTGTTTGGAATTTGGCCATGAAGTATCTAGACAAATACTCAAATCCCTCTGAATATGATTCAAACGTATTGAAAGCGTGACAAAGATAAAATTACTAACAAAAAAATGCAACTTATGCTACAAACGAAATCAATAAACCTTTTAATGTTTATTTGACAATTTATAAACTTTACAAGTCAATCGTTTTATCTACTTCCGTATATTACTCAAAGGCAACTTAAAAAAGATAAGTCCTGTTGTTATTTTATGAGTGGCTTAACAGGGCAGAGGGAGGAGATCAGGTGTGAATTCTGTGTTACAACTTACAAGCATTGAAACAAGGATTTTTGAGTTCTAAGTTCAGTGTCACAATCACTTGATCAAGTCTTTTTGTGTGTCCTACTTTAAATCGTCAATAAGTATGTATATTATACCACATATGTACCTCATCATTAATTTACGGTTAAATAAACCATAAACCTACCCAGTCAACATGAGCGGATAGGGAGGAGTCACCACAGCTAAAGACAAATTGAGTATGAAAAGTAATATTTATTAATTAGCTTTTTATTAAATTAAATTTTGAAAAGTTACAATTACATATTAGTTGCAATTTTCTCTCTCCCTTTCTCTCACTTCATTAGTGCTACTATCATTTTGTAGCTTCTCCGGCCACCTCTTTGTCGTCTTCTCGATTTTTCTATCTTCGTTTAGACGAAACAATACCACTACAAAATAATACAAGTAATCACTACCAAATCATTAAAAATACTAACAAAAAGCATGGTAAAGGAAACCGTACCGGAAGTCATACCGAATTCGTCAGTGGTAGGGTATTTTGTGGTACTACCGTGGTTCAATCGTTGTGTACCGGCAAAATACCGTTTTTTAATTAAATAATATTTTTTTGTTAAAAAACCGTACCAGCAGATTCAGGATACCGTTTCGGAATAATACCGGAATAAAACCGGAATATACCAGATAACAAACCGGAATAAACTAAATAGACATATTTAATATAACAATCAACAAACTGCAACATTATTGAAAACCAAAATTTCAAACACTTTTCAAACACTTTTCATCCATCAAATTTCATTCCACTCTCCTTACCTAATTGAAAACCAAAATTTCAAACACTTTTCATCTACCAACATGGATTTCCAATCTCCTTACCTGATTTCCAAAGTCCAACCGGCGGCAGGCTTGGCGCGGCGGAGGGGGGAGGCTCGGCGCTGCGGAGAGGGAGGCTTGGGCGCACTTCGTGGCGAAGAGGGAGGCTCGGCACGGCACGGCGGCAGGCTCGTCCTCTGCCCTTCTCGCCGGTCGCCAGAGGCAGGGGAGGTCGAGCACAGGCGGCGGCGGCGGCGTTCTCGTGACTCTTATTGACTTATTCACGAGCTCCCCGGTGGCCGGACTGCTGGAGAAGACGAAGGGCAGGAGGCGGCGTCGATCGGCGGAAATCGATCGGACTGCCGGAGAATTGGAGAAGAACTGGAGGGGTAGGCTGTGCTGGAGTGTGGAAATCGATCGGCGGCCGGCGTCGAGCTCTTCTTCACGTCACGAGCAGGCAGGCGGCGATCTGGAGAAAGGAGGAGCGGTTGCGCCGCTGCGGCAGGTGAAGTGTGAAGTGAACAAATTTTGGACTTTGGAGAGAAGGACGAAGAAGAATAGATTAGGGTTAGCAGAATTAGTCCATTATCATTATTTTTTTTTTGTCGCATGAAACGGGGACGTCTCGTCGACTTCGTCTACCGCCGGTCTGATGTAAACCGGACGGCATACCGGAAAATGTCGGTTACGTCGTTAATACCGGCAGGCGCGGTAGAATAGGCGCTGCTAGGGTGCCGTTTCGTCACTGGCCTGATTAAAATGCTCAAACCGGCGAAATCCCAAACCCCAATCATGCTTACTCCTGCAAAGGTTACACCAGGACACCCACCGAATCTTGGGGTGGCCCTCCTCAGCTCCCCACCAGAACCGGGCCACATGTCTATCCAAAAGACGACAAAGAGAGAGGGGCAACCGGAAACACGACATAACATGCAGGGGCAAGGCCAAAGCTATTGACTTAATTAAATTCTCCTTTGCCGCGCAGGACAATGTTCTTTGCTTCCACCCCTACAGACGCGCCAGTAATTTCTCTTCTAAATACCGGAATGTCGCCATTTTGGAGTCGGCAATCAAAGTGGGTAACCCCAGATACTTATCATGGACCCCTACTGCACCGACCCCTAGAATCGCGACCAAAAATTCCTGATCAGGCAAGGCAACATTTTTACTAAAACAGACTGTCGACTTCTCCAAGTTAACCCGCTACCCACTCAGCTCCTCATACTCATTCAACACCACAATTAAATTCTCGCACTCCTGAAGAGAACCTCGCAGGAATAAATAGGAATCATCCGCGAAAAACAAATGCGAGATCCTAGGAGCACGCGGAGCCACTTTCACCCCCTCCAACTTCTTTTCCGAGATCGCCTTCCGAAGAAGGGCCGCAAACCCCTCCGTGCATAGCACAAACAAGAGAGGCGACAACGGATCTCCCTGTCTGAGTCCCCGAGAGGAATTGAAAAAACTCGAGGGTGTACCATTCATCAGTACCGAAAAAGAAGGGGATCTAAGACATTCGTGTATCCATCCTTGCCAAACAGAGTTAAAACCCATCTTATCCAAAACTGCCAGAAGAAAGGGCCATTCGACTCTATCATAGGCCTTTTTCATGTCAACCTTTAGAGCCATGTAAGTGTAAAATGAATAAGATTGTGACTTTTAGACGGGCTTGGTGTTTCAAATTTGTAAGGAACAATCGAGAGTCAATAGCTTGTATACACTCTTCATGTAATAGTAAAATTTGAAAGGAAACAAGTTTTTATTAATTTAGACCAAACGAAATTGTTGCTAATTGACTCTTAACAAGCGTAAGGAGCACTTGGATTGTAAAGCAAGCTATTACCGCCAAACTCGAAAAGGCGTTGCAAAGTACCCCCAACATCTCCTTTATCAATAGCTCCATAGTGTACTCTATCATCTAGATAAATTTCACAATCTGTGGGATTATAATCAACGTTACTATTTTCATCTACAGTCCTGATTGAACTAGCATAACCATCTAATTGTGTGTCTCCAACAGGCCGACAACCAGACCCCATTGGCGGGATGGTAGTACCTGGAGGACTGTAAACTTCTCCTCCCCATTCCACATTGCTCGCAGAATCTGCTAATCCGTTGAATATTTCTGCAGGCCAAAACCCTAAAACCTTTTCATGAGCTCCAAATCTGAGAACCCAATCTCCACTGTAAAGATCCTGCTTCCAAAATGAAATAATCATCGACTTTAGGAATTTTGCTTTAGACATTTTGAGTCAACTATCTCTTTGAAAGAAAATAGAAACAATTGCATATCAATACATAATAAGGTGTATATGTATTGTTCGCTGAGTATTAAGAGATTACCTTGGTAACATTAAAGTTTTGTATAAATGTCGGTCCGCCTCTTTTAGAAACAGGCCGAAGTACAACATCCAATGGTATCTCATGATTCGTCAATACAAATCCAGGGCAAAAGGTGTTGTAGCAATGTACATTGTTCGTCTAAAGAATGCCAATAATAGTAAATGTGATTATAGTGATGATGACAATAACAAAACAGCAACAAAAACATCATTATCATGATGTGTCGAAACACTCACATTTGTGTATATGAAAAGTCGAGTTTGTGTATCTTGGTACAGGCTCGGATTAACCTGAAACATAAAATATGAAAATGGGATTATATATATACAATCATATAATGAATATATCACATGGAGCTACGTCAAGGATGAAATGTTTAGACAAGATCATTTCACTACTTACTGTCCATCCTACTGCAATACTATCCAGACCGTTTTCGAATTTGACACGACTAGATGTGTATTGATTGGCTTCAACGTTATGACTATACACGGTAGTCCACATTCCGCCTCCATAGTACCTTTTGTACCCAGTAGACCTGAGTACCGCAACCTACATGACAAAAAACATAGTTCCAGACCAAGTTATAAATATGATTACTATATATATAAACAATAAGAACTCCATATATACATGAAATTCATATTCATTAATAAAACGAAAATTAATATGAAAATTAACCAAAAATAATCTAGGTAGCGATATCTAATGGGCACTTCCTAGCAGCATCTCCTGTTTGGGTGTAAGGCATGCATTCTTGTCATTTTGAAATGTGGTGTAGGATCAAATGATGTCCATATGATATATGCAATTATGTGATCTCGTCCCTTAATTTTAACTGGGTTTAGATATGATGGTTGAGATCAAAATGCTTTTTAAAACCTTTTTTTAATCAACTTGTATCTATTCATTTTAATTAATGTTTTGAAAATGTAAGCATAGAGAATTGCTTCATTGTGGTCTCAAAATTATATAATTTTTTATATTTTCAGAGAACTTTTTTTTATCATTTGTTACCACCCTCTATCACCATTAACCTCATTTTTTGAACTCGAATTTAAAAAAAATTTAGGTTCATTGTGATTTATCAAATGATGTCAAGTCTTTATATTATTCGGGGAAAAAAGACTTTAGGACCAATGATTACACTCTCTAAAATAGTGGTGGATGATGATTGGTATATCCTTACCAATTCTATACTATGATATATTTCAACCACTATGGTATAATCTTCTGTACCATCAAGCTCTACCACCATACTGTACTGTAGTAAAAACCGTCTCAATTAATATATTTTTTTTTACTATAAAATATATCAAAGTGGATAAATAAATAACATGACTTTTTTATTCATGAATTATATATTATATATGTAACATTTTATTGGGGGTAATGTTATACATGGCTGAGTAACCACTAACCATAGGCACTCGCCGAATCTACTTCCATAAATGATTACAAAGTGTTTTTTAATGTTAATAAATGATTTCTAAATGCTATATCAGTATATCGAATATTAGTAAATTTTAATATATAATTTTACATACTAATTTTTTTTAAGTGTAAAAACTCTTAGTTAGCCATTTATAGAGAATTCATAGGAAACCTGATTACAAACACAAATGGTGTATTAATATTATATGCACTTGAAATATAAGATATGCCATAACCATGCGTGATTATTATAACTTACATGAACACCCGGATTGAGGTCGGGCCCAATGGAAGCAGCTAAGTTTGCTTTGACTAGATCATTTTTTGAAGTTTTTCTGATTGGCACCGTTCTAATTGGACATCCTTTACCATTTAACCATATATTTGATGGTTCATCACCAGATGAGGTTGAGTTAGTTGTTCTTACTTCCGAACCTCGAAAATAAGAGTTGATCATCTGCAGTGAATTAAATCATAAAGTTATTACATACCAATACGTATCATCAACTTAACTAAATGTACACAAGGAATTAGAATATAGCACTCATACCTGGAAATTAAATTTACGATTATTCAATGCGGGATGATCAAATGCTGGTTGATCATAGAAATCCATACAATTATATGTGTCTCCATATATTGTCTATTTGATTATAAACAGAGAATAAAAATTTAAACAATTTTGATGCTATTAATTACAATTATTATATTAAAAAGAATACATATTTGAGACAAAATGATTCAGCAACGTAACCTGGATGGTGGAAACAACTCGCTTATTCATATGATAAAGTTGTTTTCTAGATCTTCCAAACAACATCTGAGCTCTAATGACATTGTGTTCTGATAACAAGACAAACCATAGTAAAAGAAATATGAAGGCATAGCTAGAGTTTGAACGCCTCATGTTCTGTCTTTAATCTCCTACAACAAATAAAAGTTCCAAAGATATGAGTTAATATATAAAAAAGAGGACATTTATTAAGCTCGCTGCAATACATTTGTAAGACACTTACACTTGCTTCCCCCTTGAATTTTCTTTGAGTATATTTCAAATGAAATTGTTTTCTATGATTCTACTCATGAATGTCCGTAGTCTTTTTATAGAGGGAAAATCTTATTATGTCAATTAATTATAATTTTGGTTAGTTCGAACCATTCAATGTATTCAAAAGGTACACTAAAATGGAAATGTACCATAAAATAGATAACAATGTAAATATTAACAGTAATAAATAAACATATTATCCCTAATAAGATAATTTTACTTTTATAGTCATTCATTAAAATTAATGATATTTTTTATAAATTGTCAACAACAATATCTCTAATGTTAAATTTTCTCCTTATATAATCGGGTAAAAAGATAAGAACATAAAAAAATTTGTGTACATAAGACAATAACATAAGAACATTCTCTTTTTTGTGTTTTATATATTTAAAGCAGTAATATCAACACAATCCTCTCTTTTCTTCTCATATTCCTAATAAAAAAATTACATTTTATTTCTTTCATTGAATTCCCCACCCCCCCCCCCACCCCATTTCTCACATTTCTCCTATGAATCTAGAAGAAGTGTCTATCTAGTGGCGAAACGAGCCATTGCGTCCATAGATAGACTATTATTTGACTTTTGTTTCAAAGTTCTAGGTGTATTGTAATTTATCGTTTCGGTCGTTTGAGAATCGGAATATGAATTATGAGATTTTAATGTAGTCTGATGATAACTGTGATGCTTTGATGTAAATGCAAAAATAAACTCACAAATCAGAAATAATATCTCTGTTGTTAGTAGAGATTTGGTATCCCTATTGTTTAGAGATGTAAAAAATCTAGATCTAGAATTTCAAATGCTAAATTAAACAAAAAATACATTTCTTGCAAATATATGAATAGGGATGAGAAACCTAACCGGAAATTAGGGTACCCGCCCGAAACCGAGCCGGTCAAACCGGGCAGAAACCGCTTTGACCGGGTGGCGGGTCGGGTTCGGGGAAACCCGACTTTGGTGAGCGACGGTGATGGAGCGGACACGGATTCCTTACTATCTGCCCCGATCACCGATCCGTACCCGCCCCGATCTCCCCAAATCCCGTACTCCATATTCCATATCACCATTCATCAATCGTGATTCCAGTACACAATTACTAGCCAATTATCACCTTCCCAATTCTCCCAAAGAGTCTTGAATATCAACGATTCTTCTTTCCTTTATCACCTTCCGGAGGCATAGAGATGCAAAAGTTTCTCCCACTCCCACAAGCCGCTTAATCCCAATTTCAGTGTCTGCATTATCTGCCCCAAATCTTTCCCCATTTCTCCAAACCCTAATCAAGATGCATGCCTCAATCTCAGCACGAGCAGTAGCAGCTATAAATAGCTGCTCACAACTTCAAATTTCACCCATCGCCATCGCCTCCCTCCAAGCTTCAATCCTCTCACTCCCAATTTCCCATCGGCGAACAATAGCAGTGGTAATTGGCACAGCGGAAGCAGCGATTCAGCGAGGGTCTTGAGTTGGCTAGGTGGGTTTCTTACTTTCTTTTCTTATTTGCAAATAAGTTTCTTAGGTTCTGATGTTCTATAACTAATCGATGCTCTGTCTTTGTGTCATGTGTGCAATAGGTGATAGAAGAAACCTTAAATCAGCAGCAGCAGAGAGGACTTGAGGTGAGTTTCGTTTCTCATTTTCATTTTTTAAAATCTGTTTCTGTGGTTTGGTTCTGTAATTCAGTTCAAGTTCATTGATGTTAGTTTCTTTCATTGAAAATCAAGTCTGCTAGTTATCTAAAATTCTCAATCCATGCTTTGTGTCTGTGTGTCATGTGTGCAGCGAGTGATAGAGAACTCGATTCAGCAGCAGAGAGGACTCGAGGTGGGTTTTTTCTCATTTTCAAATTCTGTTTCTGTGGTTTGGTTCTATAATTAAGTCCATGTTCATCGACATGGGTTTCTTTCATTTTAAAATCGAGTCTGCTTGTTATCTCAGTCCATGTTGTGTCTGTGTGTCATGTTTGTAGTGGGTGATAAAAAAACTCGATTCGGCAACAACAGAAAAGGACTCGATTCTGTGTGCTAGTTTTTCAATTTTAAATCTTGTTTCTATGGTTCTGTAATTATATAATCTATGTGGGTATCTTTCATTTCCAAATCAGTTCTAGTAGTTATCTTAATCTATGCTATGTGTTTGTGTGTCATGTGTGCAGTGAGCTATTGTGAGAAACAGCTGCAATGTCTGACGTACCACCGCAAAACCAAGGTCCTCAACCACCCATTGCACCTCCAATTGTGAATGGAAATGATGGTGGAGAGGCGGCAGCTGCTGTTCAACCTCAAAATGGAGAAGCAGTTCCTCAACCTCCTCCTGCCCCTCTTGTTATTGATGAGGAGGTAATTGACGTAGCCAAGCTCAAGAGTCTGGTTTGGAAACATTTCAAAAAGATTAAGGTCAATAACCTATGGAAGTCT